TAAATATTTAATTTAGCACTGATATGCTGAAAGAATTTCTTGACCCTTGAATAATTTCAGTGTGTGAACAGCTTGCCTGTGATGGTTGTGCAGAGACCTTTGGGAGTTTTTTGAGCAGTTTGACTTAAAGCTAGATACCATTGAGTCACCAGAGTATCAGAAGTGATATATTCACGATGGTACAAAGAAACTCCTTCTAATCCATTGGGCTGAACGGCCTGTTCAATTCAAAAATGTATGTTATTGTATGTATAATTGGAGCAGAAACTTTCCCAGTGGTAGTAATAAAAAGAACTAGCTAAGGAATTGGCTATTTTCAGTGAAAAGAAACTTGTGAGGCTTACTCTGAGACGCGTCCACATGATTTTGAATCAACTAGCTTGTGAGTGCACTGTGGCACAATGGATATCTTGATAAGGTTGATGAGCACTTCAGAAGTTGTGCGTTTGAGTCCATCTCATTGAGTATGATGAGTAGTTTAAAGTCTGAGATTCTGAGTCCCACCAATCATGCATTGCCTTACAGTAATGAAACTGTTTCCCTGTGCAATTGATGTAAACTACAAAAAATGTTACGGACAATTTTCAATGACTCTAGATTTGAGTGCATTTTTGCCAGACGTTTCTGAAGTCAATGAAACTATCTAGCTTTTTCTGGCTCTGTGGCGCAATGGAGAGCGCATTGGACATCTAGTTGAGTTTAATGAGTAATTCAAAGGTTGTGGGTTTGAGTCCCACCAGAGTCGCATTGGTTTGCAATTGCATACCCTTTAATTCCTGTCATTGCCGAACTTCTTCACGCATCCATATTCTCAACCCTGTTGAACCTCTTCACTTTTGTAGGGACGGTTAACAGAACATGCACAGTAGAAGTCAGGCAAACAAGGAATTGATAAAGTTCTATATATTTAATTTCCAAGGATTGCTGAAGGAACTTTCTGTGACCACTTGAATCAGCTGGTGTGTGATGACTCTGGGTGATGGATTGTGCATTAGACCTCTATTTAATTTTGATGAGTTTCTCTTAAGCTGAGGGTCTCAGCCCCACCAGAGTCAGACAGGCTTACCGCAGCGATAACTTGACTTCCTTCTAATCCATAGTTTTCCGCCCCTTTCAATCAAATGACATGCATTGGCTTGTGACAATTGGAGCAGAACTTTTCCCAGTGGTAGTAATAAAAAGAACTAGCTAAGGAATTGGCTATTTTCATTGATAAGAAACTAGTATGAGGATGAGGTTCTGAGTCCCGTCCACATGATCTTGAATCAGTGAGACTTTTGAGTGCAACTGTAAACACAATGGATATCTTGATAAGATTGATGAGCACATTCAAAGGGAATACGAAACCATGTTGAGTCCTTCTCATTGAGTATGATCCAAAGAAAGTATCACCCAAAAGGCAATGAGGTTCTGAGTCCCGGGACCATTGATGATCTGGCTTACAACAGTGAAGACTATTAGAGCCCTGTGGAAGATTTTGATGTAAACATCAGAAAAATGTTATTAACAATTCGCCAATGACTATTGATTTGAGTTACATTCCTGTCAGACAGGTTTCTGAAGGTCAATGAAAACAATTAGAGTTTTCTGGCTCAGATTATGGTCCAGAATGGAGGGTCTGTTCAGGATAGGACTTCTAGTTGAGTTTAATGAGGACAATTCAAAGGTTATTGGGTTTGAGTCCCAACAGCAAGTCAGATTGGTTTCAATTGCATACCCTTTAATTCCTGTCAGGAATCGCCTGCACAGATTTCTTCACCCCTCCATTTGTTAAACCCTGTTTACCCTTCTCACATTTGGCCGGACGGTCAATTGAACATGCACAGTAGAAGTCAGGCAAACAAGGAATTGATAAACTTCAATATATTTAATTTGACAAGGAGGGTTTGCTGAAGGAACTTTCTGTGACCACTTGAATCATCTGGTGTGTGATGACTCTGTGTGATGGATTGTGCATTAGACCTCTATTTGATGTTTTGATGAGTTTCTCTTAAGCTGAGGGTCTCAGCCCCACCAGAGTCAGACATGTTATGGCCGCAGTGATTTTAAGATGACAATTCCTTCTAATCCAGGATCGTTACAGATTTCAAGCAGAATGACATGCATTGGCTTGTGACAATTGGAGTCAGAACTTATCCCAGTGATACTGGGAATAAAAAGAACTAGCTAAGGAATTGGCAATTTTCAATGATAAGAAACTTGCTGAGGATTACTCAGGATGGAATAACGTTCCCCAAAATGATCTTGAATCAACTATGCCTCGTGAGTGCACTTGTAGGCAACCAATGGATATCTAGATAAGATTGATGAGCACTTCAGCTGTTGACCCTGTGTTTGAGTCCTTCTCATTGAGAATATGATGAGTAGTATAAAAATTGACAAATGAGTCCCAATGTTTTTATGTCATTGGTTTACTGACCTCATGATCTGCATTTCATGGTACAGTGAGACTATTTCCCTGTGCAAGTGAGGTAAACTTTTTTTGAAAAAATGTTATTAACAATTTTCAATGACTATTGATTTGAGTACATTCCTGCCGGATGTTTCTAAAGGAAAAGGAAGCTTTTAGCTTGTTCTGGTGCTGTGGCACAATGGAAATCGCATTGGAGTTTTAGTTGAGTTTAATGAGTAATTCAAAGTTTGTGTCTTTGAGTCCCACCAGAGTTGTGTTGCTTTGCAACAGCATACCCTTTAATTTCTCTCATTGCAAAGCTTCTTCACCCATGTATTTGTTCAACAATTTTGAACGTTAAGACATTTGTAAGGACAGTCGACAGAACGTGTGCAGGAGAAGTCAGACTTTTTCCCAGTGTGAGTGAGGTAAACTACAAAAAATGTTTTTGACAATTTTCAATGACTTTTGATTTGAGTACCTTCCTGCCGGATCTTTCAGAAGGAAATTACTTGTTTACTTATTTTACTTGTTTTGCCTCTGTGGCACAATGGAGAGTTCACTGTCATCTTAGTTGAGTTTGATGAGTAATTCAAAGGTTGTTGGTTTAAATCCCAAAAGAGTAACTTTGGTTTTCAGCAGCTTGACCTTTAGCTCCCGTCTTCGCAGAGCTTCACCTTGCATTTCTTCAACCTCGTTGAACATTCTCAGGTCTCTAAAGATTTTCAAAAAAAAACATCATCCGTGGAAATCAGGTGAACAGCAAACAAGGGATTGATGACGTTCAAAAATGAGTTTATATGCGTAAACTTGATATGTCTGCGCTTTAATCAGCCAGTTTGATGACTGTGGTACAATTGATTGTACATTAAACTTCTATTTGCGTTTCATGAGTTGCTCAAAGGCTGAAGGTTTGAGCTCCACCAGAGTCAGATAGGCTTACTGCAGTGAGACCTTTACTTCCTGCTAATCCATAGGTTCTCTATCCTTTCATTCAAACAACATGCATTGGCTTGTGAGGATTCAAGCAGAACCTTTCCCAGTGGTAATAATAAAAAGAACTAGTTCCAGTATTGGCAATGTTCAATGAAAATTTATTGGTGATGATTTCTGTCAAAAGTTTCCACACGATCTTGAATCTAGTTTTTGAGGGCACTGTGGCACAATGGATATCTTCTTAAGGGTGCGGAGTAATTCAAAAGTTGTGGGTTTGCGTCCCACCCACTGACTTCTCATTTAGCATAATGAGTAGTTGAAAGGCTTGTGCTTTGAGTCCCACCAGACTCGCATTGGCGGACAACATCAAAACTGTTGCTTCCTGCTATTCCATTGCTTATCTACATTTGCATTAAATCGACAACTTACAACATGCATAGGTTTTTGAGGATCGGAGAAGAAACCTTTCCAGTGGTCGAAATGCAAGCAACTAGCTATGAAATCTAAATTGTTCAGGGAAACTGTATTTGTGAGAATTTATGAGGAAAGTTTCAACACAATCTTTCATCAATTCACGCAAATAGCGTCTGTGGTGCAATGGCTATAGCATTGAACTGCAGGTTGAGTTTGGTGAATAATTCAAAGGCTGCGGGTTTGCAAGTCAGGCTAACTGCAAACAGTGGTATTGACAATTTTCAATGAATATTGATTGGTGAAGATTGCTGCTGAAAGAACTCAGACTTAGTCATCAGTTCTGTCTCTGTGGCACAATGGATCGTGCATTGGACTTCTTGTTGAATTTGAGGAGTGATACAAAGGATGTGGGTTTGGTTTGCAGCGTTTGGTTTGCAGCAGCTTCACCTTTAGTTACTGCCTTTGCAGAGCTTCTTCACCCTTGCATTTCTTCAGCCTCGTTGAACATACTCAGGTCTCTCAAGATGGTTGAAAAAACATCCTGAATCGAAGTCAGGCAATCAGCAAATAAGAGATTGATAATGTTCAATAAAAGTTTATGTCCGTAAACTTGATTTAACGTCTGTTCTTAAATCAGCCAGTGTGTGATGACTCTATGGTACAATTGCCAATTGATTATGCGTTGGACTTCTATTAGCCTTTCAAGAGTTGCTCAAATGCTGAGAGTTTGAGCCCCACCAGAGTTGCATTAGCTTACTGCAGTGAAACCTTTACTTCTTGCTGATCCATTGCTTCTCTACCCTTTTATTCAATTCACAACACAGATTTGTGAGGATTTGAGACCAAACTTTCCCAGCAGTAGTAATGCAAACAACAAGTGATGGAATCGACTATGCTCAATGAAAATTACTTTGCGAGGATTACTGCCGGACATTTCCACATGATTTTGAATGAAATAGCTTATATGGGTTCTGTGGTGCAATGGATAGTGCATTTCATCTCTTGTTAAGTTTGATGAGTAATTCAAAAGTTGTGGATTTGCATCCCATCCATCAACTTCTGGTTGAGCATGATGAGTAGTTCAAAGGTTGTGGTCTCGGGTCCCACCAGACTTGCATTGCCTTAGAGCAGCAAGACTGATTCCTAGTGCAGGTGAGGCAAACTGCAAACAACGGTATTGACAATTTTCAATGAATATTGATTTGTAAAGATTGCTGCAGGAAGTTTTCGAATGAACTCAAATGCAGTTGCATGTTTTGGCTCTGTGGTGCAATGGATAATGCATTAGATTTACAGTTGAGTTTGATGAGTAATTCAAAGGTTGTGGGTTGGACTCCCACCAGAATTGCATGGGTTCTCAGTCGTGTGACCTTCAATTCCTGCCATTGCGGAGCTTCTTCGGCCTTGCATTTATGCAACATCATTCAAAATGCAAAGATTTATAAGGTTGGTTGAAGAAATATCCTCAGCAAGAGTGGATTCTATTTGAATTTGATAAGTAGTTCAAATGTTGAGGGTTTGAGTCTGTGTAGTGAGACCTTTACTTCCTGCTATTCCACAGCTTCCTCACCCTTGCATTCAGCCAACAATGTTAAAAGTGAATCACTGAGTCACAGAGCCATATCATGCTGTCTGCCCTCCCACCACTGGGAAATTTATGCAGTCCTCAGAAATCTGCGCTCTTTGAATGTTTTCAGTCAAGCTGCATGAAAATGTTCTGCAATGGAAGAAAGCAGAAGTCTCACTACTGCAAGCCAGTTCAACCCTGGCGTGACTCAAACCTGCAACCTGCGAATACCTTCCTGATTTATTCAAGCAACTCGATTTATGATCGTGTGAAAACGATCCTCCAGGAATCCTCACAAAAAAAAGATCCCTTGAACACAGTCGATTCCATAGCTAGCTGTTTCCTTTTTCTACCACTAGGAAAGTTTCTTCCCCCGACAGAGTCCCGTTCTTTTGCAGCAGGGTGACTTCTACACCACGCCATCTCAGAGCTTCCTCATGTTAGCAGTTGGACCAGCAGCGTTCACTATATATTCTTTTGCAAGGATCACTGACGGAACTTTCACTTAGTAGTAGATTGATAGTGTGTGAAGGGTCTTTGGCACAATAGGGAATTGAACTTCTTGTTGGGTGTGATACGTAATTTAAGGTTTATGGGCTTAAATTTTTGCCATCACTTAACTTCTTCATCTAAGCAGTTGGACTGATGACGATCAGTGAGCACTGATTTGTGAGGATTGCAGGATCTTTCCTAGAGGTATTAAGCCAACCAGCAAACAATCTAGTGCATCATACTTCTGTGGCGCAATGAGTAGTTTTTGGCCCTCTATCTCAGTTTTTGACACTTCAAAGGTTGTGGGTTTAAGTCCCATCAGAGTCCTGTAATTTTCAGCTGTGTGGTTACTTACACTTCCTGTTTCCTCTCATTCTTGCTCGTTCTGACCACAGAGGTTGTCCACCCTCGCTGCATTCATTGAAAATTGCTTCACGATGATTGCAGCAGGAACGTTTCTAGTGGTAGGAAGTGGGGCAGGAAGTGGGGAGTGAAGCTGCTGTTATGCAACGGACTACACTTCAGGCTTCCAGTAAAAGAACTGAGTGATTCAGAGGTTGTTGGGCTGCCCATCCCTGTTCTTGTAGCTCTACTTGTCTTATGGTTTTTGCTTAAACCCTGATTTGGCACACATGATTGCACTATTTAGCAGTTCAACTAGATATGCTGCTGTTGAACGTGCTACGCCATGCAAAGTAATTGGATAGTAAATCTTGAAGTTGAGAGTTTGCTGCCCTGTCCACACTCGACTCACGCATGATGAGTAAATCAAAGATCACTTTGTACCCACTAGAGAGACTCTTCTGCAGCAAGCTTTGCTTTCACTTCAGATTCTAACGGAGCTTCTTCATCCAAGCAGTCGGAAATACAATGTTCTCTGAAACCTGATTTGTCAGGGGTATGGAAGGACCACTCCCCCTGGTGATGGACAAGGGGCCAATGCAAAACACATCTGTGGTGCAATGGTTGGTGCATTAAACAACACGTTCTCACGCCGCCTCGTCATATAGTGACGCTACCTGACCAAGCGTCGACATACGACACAAAAGGAGGCTTTCAGCGTCCTTATTTGATGCTTACAGTTAGGGTTCAGGTTAAGGGTTAGTGGTCAGGGGGTATTTGGTCAGGTAGCGTCACTATATGACGCGTCGTAATGAGACTGGGCTCCCTTGGAAGATGAGTCCTTGAAGAGTATTTCAGAGGTTGTGAATTCAAGCCCCGCCGGATTCATGATTTTCTTTGTGCGGGTGACCGTCAGTTCCTGCCACTTGAGTTAATTGTTCTTAGCTGTAGTCCTCGCTACAGATCTTGCCTACCCACACTGTTAGACATACAGTTTAATTGAAAACTGATTTGTGTTGACTGCGGAAGGAACATTCTCGGCGATGGTAAAACAACTGTGCACTGGATGGAGCATTGAACTTCTATTCTAACACATCAAAAGTGATTCCAAGGTTGTGGGTCTGTGTCTGCGTTGGGTTTTTTTCTTCCTGTCTTAAAAATGAATGGGTCCTTCTCATAATGACTCCAGAGCCTCTTCATCTCAGCTATTGGACAAACAATGTTTATTGAGAGATAAATTGCGACCAAAGCAAACCAAACTTTCCCTGAGGTAGCAAGTGAGGTCTAGTGCAGGTAAGAACTCCATAGTGCAGTGGATAGCATGTCAGTCTCCTCGTTTGATTTATGATAAGTGATTCACTGGTTGTAGGTTCCCACAGCAGGTGCCCATATCTCTGCTTTGTGGTACTGGTACTGACTTGTACTGTTTGTACTGCCTGTGTTAATGGTTTTTGCTTGTCCCTGTCGCAGCGATTCTCTAGCCTTGTTCTCCAGCAGTAAAACAAAACATCGAAATAGCTCCTTTGCATGACTGAAGAGGTACAATGTCCTCATAAACCCAGAATCAGGGGCTTGTTTAGGGCCTGGCTACTGGGCTATAGCCCGGGGTATTTTTTCTTTAGCTCGGGGTCTTTTCTTAAGATTAAAACAGCAGCGTGCAGTCACATGTTCAGAGGGGCTTCAGTAACCTTAACCTTTACCGCTCAACTGTCCTCTCGCTGTTCTCATTCAAGTTCGCCTGATTAACAATCAAACAATTTATCGACTGAACGACCAAGACCAATCCATTTTCCAAAATAAGAAATGATAGTGAAAAAATAAATGCCTATTGCAAACATTTATATAATTGATACAGCATTGTTAGGATGGAAACATAAATGCAAAAAATCCGAAACATTCGCTGACTTTAAGCCAGGTGAAATTGATCCACTAACTAGATTAGAGATGTGTCTTAAAGCTGTTAAAGCAAGGATGACACAGAATTTTCTCTCTTTAAATCCAGATAAGACTGAAATATTGGTAATTGGTCCCAAATCGCTCAGAGACACTTTCCTCAAGTTTTCACTCGACGTTGATGCACTCCCAGTTGCTGCCAAAGCAGTTGTCAAAAACCTTGGTGCCACCCTCGATTCAGAACTCTCTCTCCACTGTCATATTAATAACATTATAAAAGTGGCTTTCATCCATCTTAGAAACTTATGAAAAATGTTGTCTCTTCAGGACGCCGAAAAAAATGGTTCATGCATTTGTGTCCTCTCGGCTGGATTACTGTAACGTTTTACTGTCAGGCTGCACCAGTTCTACTCTGAATCGCCTTCAAATAGTGCAGAATGCTGCTGCTAGGGTTCTGACCAGGACAAAGAAATATGACCACATTAGCCCAGTACCCAAAAATCTTCACTGGCTGCCGGTCAAATTTAGAATTGAATATAAAATTCTACTGCTTACCAACAAAGCCTTAAATGATTTGGCCCCAGAATATCTTAGTGCACTTCTCGTCCTTACTCCCCTCCAAGATTACTTCATTCACAAGGTGCTGGATATTTGAAAATTCCAAATATATCCAGAGTTACATTTGGAGGCAGAGCATTCTCTTACAAAGCCCCAATCTTGTGGAACAATCTCCCAACAAACATTCGGGCCTCAGACACACTCTCTGTCTTCAAGAGTTGGCTAAAAACTTACCTTTTTAGTCAAGCCTATGATTAGGTCATGAATAGTTATGTATAAAAATTTATTGGCTCTGGTGGGACTGATTACAACCTAGTTTTATGATGGGTTCACAAGATATTGGAAGCCAGACTTAAGTAAATCCATGTGGAACCAGTGGCACTGAGCATGCAGTAACGGTGCCAGTGGGGCTTGCTACAGCCTTAGTCACTGGGGAGGTCCACATAGGTCTGGTAGTAGTGTTTAGCAAATCCATGTGGAACCGGTGGCACTGAGCATGCATTAACGGTGCCAGTGGGGCTTGCTACAGCCTTAGTCACCGGAGAGGTCCATACAGTACTGGTGTAGTGTTAAGCAAATCCATGTGGAACCGATGGCGCTGAGCATGCATCAACGGTGCCAGTGGGGCTTGCTACAGCCTTAGTCAATGAGGAGGTCCATATGGTACTCGTGTTTAGAAAATCAAAAGTGATCTTACAGCCTGGTGTAAGTGCAGGGCCTCTGTGCCGCAGGAAATGGATGGAGGGGTGTTGACTGTTTCCTGACCAGTCACTTAGCACATGACACAGGACGGTTTTTTGATTAACATGCAGTAGTTTTATCCAGTGCCTCACCCCCCTTTTTTCTGTGTCTCTTTCCGAGGATCTTTCCGTCCACTACCCTGAGTCCTGGACCGTCCAAGCCCTGTCCCTCACCATGAGCGCTGGCTGCTGCTGTCCTGCTGTCCTGATCCGGTCCTGATCCAGTTCTGCACCATCCTCGACATGCCACTTCCTGGTGCTACAGACGCCACTGTTCAGATGGACTTAAATGGAACTCTCTTGCCATTTTACTCTATTTGACTTTATTTTGTTATTATTTAGCTAGCCCGCGGAGGATGGGCTTCCCCACTATAGTCGGGTTCCTCCTGAGATTTCTTCCCACTAGGGAGTTTTTTCTCCCTACTGGGAGTTTTTTTTTGCCTCATTTGCTGTAGTGGGGAATAGGCTGGGCACTGCCCTTTCATTTATACTAATCTCTCACTGTAAAGCGTCTTTGTGACAGCCTCTGTGAAAAGCGCTATACAAATAAATTGAATTGAATTGAATTGAACTTCGCAGCAATTATTTTCGCCATCACTCAGCTGTGCATCGTACCTAACAACGCCCTTTAGCTGTCACTACATTCAGACTTTTGAACGGACTCTCGTGGCTTATTGCTCAGTGAGCCTCGCAAACTAATTTACGCAAATCTGTGCTGTTTCACGAGCTACACGAGTGCAGATATTATAATGATGT